TGTTTTTTTTTTTAGTGATGAATTTTTGAAATTATAAGCAACTTAATTGATAACAAGTTGCACAAGCTGATTGCTAGACGTGCTGTTATAGTGGAAATTGGGTGGCAATCCGATTTGATGTGGAATAAGTTTTGGAAAAATTGATTCGTGTGGAGCTATCTATCTTATTTCCAGCTCTCTTGTGGGGAAAATGCTTTTCTTGTTTCTTTTATAACTGTTGATTTGGTACATTTGGTTTGTTTATTTTCCCATGCTTGAAATTGGTGTGCTCCCTGAATTTTATGAACGTTCTAATAGTATCTAGTCTTCCTTTGTTATTAACAGCCAAAGCAGATACATGAAATCAAGGATTTTCTTCTCACAGCAAGAAGGAAGGATGCTCGTTCTGTTAAAATCAAGAGGAGAAGAGATGTGGTGAAGTTCAAGGTTCGATGCTCCAAGTATCTTTACACACTGTGCGTGTTTGATCCTGAGAAGGCTGACAAGTTGAAGCAATCTCTTCCTCCAGGTATAGGGACATTCTGTCTTTAATTGCTGTTTATATGCTGTGTTATTTTAGAATTACTCCACTTTGTTTTGATTGAAGGCTATCCATGTCAATAACCAATCATCTTTTACATGCGTTTTGCACCTCTAATGATCTAAACTACAAACATGTACTGTTCGCTAGATATCAATTTGATTCCTTTTTTATTTTAATTTATAATATCTCTCTTGCTCATGCTCAAGATTTTTGAGATAAAATTAAGAACTCAACAATTTCTTTACTCCCTTTCCCCCTTCTATTTAAATTATTAAATCCTTGAAAAGGATTGATTGTGCAGTCTCTGTGATTTATTTTAGGCGACCGCTCACTACTTGGTTCATACGCTCTGTTTGTAGGTTTGAGTGTTCAGGAACTGTGAAGAAACAATCAAAGTGTTTCTGGGCCATTACTGAAGTCAAGGATCAAGTATTTAGCCTTGTTTATCTTCTTTTTTTATTGTGATTTTTGAGTAATTTTGTCGATTTAGTGACTTTGACTTATCACTGAGATCTTATCCTATTCCTGGAGAGGCCTCCTTATAATACAAAGTGGTGGATTGGTAGAACCGCTTCTTGGAGAAAGTTTTTCACTAGTCATGTTCAACTTTTTTCATCTATTCTCTGAGAACGGGTGATCCAAATAAATTATTCTAGATGCAAAAGCGTCAATGTTTGGAGGCCGTCTGACCCTCTCTGCTACAATCTCGGTTGAATTTGTCGTCCCTATTTAGGTTTTCGCAAGTTACCACGAGTGTTAACAAAGTAAAAATCCATATATCTAATAATTTTCTCAGATTTTGCCCTCTGTATATTCTTGAGACTGTAAATGATGTTTCGTCAAGAAATAAGTGAATAATCGACGTGAAAACAAATTCTCTCGGAAAAATCCTGAGCTGTCGAAACTCCAGAGGACTAGTCTGGGTCGAGAGAATGCTTGAGGTCTGTTTATTTTTGTGTTTTAATAGTATATTTTAAAAAATTTAAAAAATTCAAAATTTAAAATTTTTTTAATTTGTTTTTTTATGTAAATTAATATGTTTTTAGTGTATTTAGATATTTTAATATGTTGATATTAAAAATAATTTTTAATAAATAAATAAATATTATTTTAATATATTTATAAATAAAAAATAATTGGAAGAAACTATTAAACAGCTGATTTCAAGGCTATCCATGGCTAATGGGAGTGATACTAATTTTCGGCGAGCTGAGTACTTTTCTTTCTCGTGATCCTAAATGTCGGCGAGCTGAGTGATTTCCTTTCCCTTCCCTATATATAGTGTGACGTTCTAACAGGTTAGATGTATTGAACAAGAGATTGGTTTTTGCTTGGTAGTGACGAACATCATATGATATTAACCATGCCGATCATAGTTCCCTTCCAAACAAATCAATTACGTTGAAAAACAATGTTTTTTTTTTAAAAATTCACAGATAATGAACGGAAAATGGTCTTAGAAAGGTCACCGAATCTTTTGCGATC